ACTGGACCAATCTGCCACGTCCTGGCCTGGGAGAAACCAGAACCAGATTGAAACATCCTCTTGACATCATATCCAGACAAAAGGCAGCAGAATGTTTAGTTTGGAATTAGCCAAAATTGGGAGAAACTGTGCGGTGTGTCACACTGTCCCAAATTACAGGCATGAGGGTAACATGTGCCTGCCTGCTGTGGGTGGGGGACAAACCCCTTTGGGTTGGGACGTCCCCTCCAGGGTGGGAACAGGGACCACTGTGATTGCAAACTGTTCAGGGATCCCTGGTGTCTTCTCCAGTGTCCCAGAGATCCCATGTGGAAACAGTGAAGGTTTTGGTCATGCAGACAGATCTGCTTTTTTAACCCCTCTTCCTCTTCATTCCTCACTGTCCCTTAGGGAACACTCTGTGAATTCTAATAGTGAACAAGAATTACCTAATATTTGAAAAAAACAGGACCTTGATTTTTTTATTTTAAATGTAATTCAGAGTCACCCTCTCCATCCTGTAATGGGGAGGGTAGAGCAGTCCAGAGTGGTGATGAGATACATGAGATATCCCAGCACAGAGCAGGGTCTCCTGCTTGCAGCTCAGAGCCCTGTCCACCTCCTGGCTTTACCTCCCCAGAGAGAGATATTGGGCAGAAAATGGGGGAATATCAAGAGTACAAGCGGTTAAACCCTCTCTCCCCCCTCTCCCTGACAGCCGTGGTACCGATTATGCTGTTTTTCTCCCACCACAATAACATCGTTATTCAACTTGGCAGCACAAGGTGGAGTGAGTGAGTGAGCGACGGAGCGAGCGAGGGAGTGACGGAGGGAGAGAGGGAGAGTGCGTGCGGTTGTATTTTTTTTTAAATCTATCAAACAGTTTTCCGTTCTGCCGATCGCAAACTCCCGCCCGGCCGTCCCCGCCGCAGCATCCCGCGTTGCCATGCCAACGGAGCCTGGCAGCCCCTGTGTCGTGAGGGACCGCTCCGCTTCCCCGGGGGCCGCGGGCTGGCGACGGGGGGATGCGCACGTGCCCGGCTGATTCTGACCCCTACCCACGGCATTTTTGGATAATTTTTCCCCCCCGAGCTTCCAGTGAGATGATTTACCCCTCATCAGCCCTTTTAAGACGTCATCATCGGTGCTTGACTTAATCAGGACATCTCGGAATGAAAAACAACCTTCTCCTGACCCCTGCACTTCCACTGCCAATTAGATATAATAGAGCAAAGAGCCTTTCCAGTCCTTGCAATGCCTCGGGAGTTGTGGATGTAAATGTGAGAGCCACCACCGGGACATCACAGCCCCCATAGAGTGCTGGCTGACTCCAAGGACAGGGACACAGCGGATGTGCAGCTCACACCAGGCTGTCCTCCCTTCTAGGGGCAAAAAAGTGTCAGCACAGCAACGTGGGGAAGTGGCCCAGGGCTTGTGCTGGAGGAGAAAGCAAGAACATGCCAACCAGCACTTACCTGAGCCTGGGAAAACAAGAATCCTTGGATCAGGAGTGTCCCTTGCTTTGCCCGCTGGTTGCAAGGCGAGGATGGTTTGCAGTGTGAGACTGGAGCTGCAGAGCTCTCTTGCAACCAGTGTTTCTGTGATGAATGCCTGGGCATCCCCAATTTGTTGGGTTCAATTTTCTCTGCAGGGCTGGGCTGCTGTTGCTGGAAGAATTATGTTGGTGGTCTGGAAAACAACTTCACAGCCAGAAGCTGGAGTGGTGGACTGGGGAGGAGGCTTGGAAGTGCTTATTTCTGTCTCCTCCGGGGGGCTGCTGGCTGAGGCACCTTAGGTGCAGGTCCCCTGGGGACACAGGCATCCAGCTCTGTCTGGGCTGGCCTCTGGAGACTGTCCCTTATGTTTATGTCTTCAAAGTGCTTTGTCCTCTCCAGATGTGGAAGAAAAGCATCCCCTGCTCTGGGTAACAGAGACTGGAGCAAGAGGAAATCAGAAATACAGGTCACCTCACTTCACTGAGCAGTGCTGTGCTGTGTCCTCCTTTGAAAAGGACCCAAGTAGATGCAAAGGTCTGGATTTAGCTTGAATTGTGGGTTCTTTAGGCTTCCCTGGGGCCCCCAGGGGAGGCAGCAGTGGGCTTCAATTAAAGAAACAAGGAAAAATGCATCCCTGGTGTCTGCAAGCCCAATATGGGTAGCTGCTGGCCTTGGAAAATCATGACCAGCCAAATGTGTGTGACCACACCATGCCTGTGTTTTAGCTCAGCCCCTGGTCATGTCCGACATCCTTTTGGTTTTCGAATGAGGTCCAGGGACATGAAAGAAAGCAAAGAAAAATACGATGTTTCCAGGAACTGGGAGCTCAAATGGCAGCCTGAGGGAATGTGGCAGAGGTCAGTGAAATCCCGGGGTTGGGACCTGCCACTGATTCAGGCAGGGTTTGCTGGTCCCAGCACAGCCCAGCCCAGAGGTCCTGCTCACCTGGGCTCCTGCTCCTCCGTGCACATCCCACAAGAAGGCTGAAAACAGTGGCCATTCCCATTTCCCATTCATAAAGGAAACTGCCTTTCCCTCCCTGAGGAGGTTTGTACCAAGCAGCACTGCAGGAATGTTTTATACTTCTCCTTGCAGTTGCTTTGTTCTCTTGCCTCCCTGCTGTTTCCTTGGAAAAGTTAATTTTCCCCACGGACTTTCTTTAGATGGAAACATTTCCCCTCAGTGGATTTGGTGAGCACAGAAAGCATCAGTTTCAAACCTGAATGGAAATAATTAGAAGCACCTTAGTGAAGAAAAAGTGGGCACACACTGAGAAAGGTTGTACCCCTATATCCATGCCTGGGTTCTCAGCACATGGGGGATGTGGCCTAGATCTGTGCCAATGGCTTTCCAAAAGCTCCTGTTCTAAGCTTCAAATCACCTTCTACTACCTTCTACAGCAGCTGGCACCAGCATAAAGCAAATGTAACATGCTGCTGAAGTGTTATGTCTCTTTATGCACTCACTTTAGGCCAGTGCTGGCTGCAGCAGGAGGTGTTGGTTGGTGGAAAATGAGATGTTTCAGCTATTGCTTCAATTATACATAGCTTTTCCTGAGGAAAGACTCCTCTGCCTGAGAAAGGGCAGTGGAGTGAGAGGGACAGCAGCCCAGAACGTGGATGGCTGGGAAAGGATTCAGAGCTTTTCTCCACCCTGCCCATGCTGTAACCTTCCTCTCAAGTTTTTTGGGCGTCATCCTTTAAAAAAAAAGTGATTTTCTTTAGGCTGGGGCTCTGGCAAGGACAGGCATGGTCAGCAATGCAGCTGACACAGGCGAAGTCAGCGTGGCCAGGGCACATCCCAGCCTTGCAGCTGCTTCACCCTGAGAGCACCAGGCCCAAGGAATGGCCACCTCCCCTCCTGCTCTCGGGTGTTGTGCTGAACCTTAATTTTTAAAGGGAAAGCAATAGATTAATTTTCTCAGAAAACGCAGTACAAAATGGAAATGTTCTGTGGAGCGAGATGGACTTTTGTTCCTCAATGCTCATGATAGAAAACTGTAATGGACTTTGTTCTGATAAGTGCTGCAATACTTACCAGTGTAAATTTAGTATTGCCTCCTATTAGAAATGACAAGAAAGGTGCAGTTAAAACAGTACTTTATCCTGACATTTCAGAAGCAGCTGTACTTAGAAAAAGTATTTTTGCTCATCTTTTCAAATTGGGACAAATCAACTGATGGATTTGGGATTTTCTGCAAGGTCAAAGTCCTGATACAACACTGTTTTCAGTCAGACTGGGTGAAAAAGCATCAAGCACTGAGCTAAAAGGTTTACCTTAATTATTAAGACTCTGGAGCTGAGCATGGGGAAAGCACAGTCTATCACAACCCTTCTGCTCCCTCACTGTGTGAGTGTGAACAAGATACCTTGTTTTATGTGCCCCAAAGGCAACATGGATGAATGCCTCCTCCTGAGGACGCTGTGAAACAGTGTGGGGAGTCTAAAACAACACAAGGGAAAGCCAGAGGGTGGCTGAAAGTGGTGGCAATGTCTCTTTTGCAATGTGCTCTGTGCAGGGGCAGTCTGGGTGCCAGGGGACTGATGCAGAGGGCTGAGCTCTCAGCCTCCAGCCTGATTCAGCCATGAAGAAAGGCTGAAATGCAAGCAGAGGGAGCTGGGGAAACCTCATGTGTGGGCCAAACCAGCACTCCAAGACATTTCTTTGGGACGTCCGGGGCAGAGCTCTGCAGTCAGGACTTGTGGCTTCCAGGGATCTTCCCCAGGGGCTGCCTGTGCAGGGAATCTGCACAGTGATATGGGGAAAGGGACCCCTGGGAGTTGTTGTGGAGCAAATGCAAGGACATGTGCAGGGAAATCTGTGGCTTTGAGGGAGATTATAAAGACTAAAGGCATTTAGTATGGATGGAAACCAATGGCTTTCCTTGTCATTTGTCAATTCCTTTTTTCTTCCTTCCTTCCTCTCTCTTTCTCTTTCTTGTTTGTTTGGTTGGTTTTATTTGGGGTTTTGGTTTTGTTTTGTTTGTTGTTTTTTGAGGTTTTTGCTGTTGTTGATGGTGTTTTGTTTTCCAAACAGTTAAAGGTAAAGGAAATTAAGATTAGACTCACACCCTCTGTGGTGACCATGCCTGTCCCCTTAGTCCAAGTGCCCCCTTGAACCAGTTTAACTGGGAGTGGGAGCCTCTCATTGCTCAGAACAATTCCCTTAACTCAAATCAGTGCCATTGGCTTCAGAACTTGTCTGAGGTCTCCAGTGGTTGTGAGGGCAGCAGGACTATGTGAATCCCTTATAGGTGAAGAAACGCCACAGGTGTCAAAGGAAAACTGCATTTTCCTGCAGTTCTTCCCTCAAAGCTGTGACACACCTGAGGAGAGACAGCAGCTGTCCCTGGGAGGTGACAGCCACGAGCCCTTGCAGCTCAGTGAGTGGCCAGATGTCTTCTCTAGGCTCCCCTTTCCTCTTTCCCTCTCTGACTTCTCTCTTTCTCCCTACTCTCAGTTGGGCATTTATCTCCCTCTTGGTTCTGCTCACTTTTTTGTGCCCCTGCCTTTTGCTCCAGGACAAGTCCCTCTCTGCTGGAGGAGTCCCCCCTTCCTCTGGTACTAGGAGATCTTCCCCTTCATCTCCTGCCACATGCAGGCACCGTGGCTGGAGATGCTCCTCTCCAGGAGAAGACCTGCCCCGTGCTCCATCACTCTCGGCCTGTTGCCAGGCAACACAGCATCACATGGATTTCACTCCCAAGCTCCAAAATAAACTGTAGATACAAGGGATTTTTCTCCTGCTCTTCCAAAAAGGGACCTCACCTGCCTCACTGGCGGGTCTGAGAGGGTGAGGGGGTCTCCAGCAGTCACTGTTGGCTGCTGGCTTTGCTGCGGTGCTGCTCTGCCTGGAGCGGGAGAGGTGGGAGAGAGTGGGGTGGTGAAGGCAGAGAGGGGACACCTGTGATTCCTGCTGTTTTCCTTGTCCCCCCTGGGTGGCTCATTCATGCCTGACATGTCCCACCCAGGCTGCAGCCCCCAGGGATGGGCAGCAAGGCCTCTGCCAGCCTGCAGTGCCAGCCCTGTGTTTTGTGCTCGGATCAGGACAGTTCCCTGCCAGTGTAAGAGGGAATGCAGAGCTTATCCCAGTTCTTTTCTCTTCCAAGATGGACCGTACTTAACACACAAGTCCTCCCTTTACTCCCCATCTGCCAGTTTAGCACCTGGGAAGTCACACACTGAGTTTTGTTTGAAGGCAGCAGCTCCTTCCAGGCACAGACCCACAGGCAGCTGGAGCCAGGCATTTGGAGTGGTAGGAAACATTGGCATGATCCTTGTTTCCCACGGGGATTTGTTTAACAGGTGCCCCACCTCCAGCCTGCACAGGACTGGGAGTTTGTGGGTATTAATTTGATCCTCTTCATAATTACACAGGGGTTTTGTTTTCACATCTGCACAGTGAATGCTAAAGTGGCTTCAGAAGTTGAGGCATGACCTGAGATTACTTGTTGTCAACAGGCTGATGGACTGTCAGATCTGTTTCAGGAGCAAGACACATGTCTCACCGTCTTCCAACCTGTAATGTACAAATTGCATTTCATGACAGCCATATAACACTCCTGAGAGCAAATTTTGGCACAATTATCACCCTTTTCAGGTCATAAAAGTCGCTCAGCACTCAGCCACCTGTTTAGAGCTGTCAGCCAAAGCCCCTTGCAACCACTGCAGTGGTTGAACACCATGGGAAAGCACACATGAATAATATCTCACATGAAATGCTGAGCTAACAAGGAGCACACATCACATTCCCAGTGAGAACATATTGCAAATACCCTGTCCCAGGCAGGGGAACTCCCAGAGGGAGGAAGCACAGCTTTCCCAAAGCAGCATGTGCCTTTAGAAAGCACATTTCAGGTGTGTCCTCCTGCATTTCTGCACTAAAAACTGGACTCACTATACTGCCTCCATCACAGAAACAAGCCTGCTGGCTGGCTTGGGTGTCAAGTCAAAACTAAGAGAGACCAAACTTGGGAAGAAACCTCCCAACTGGGAATAGGGCAATTGAACTATTAGTGGGGACCTCTCAATCCAGCACATGGCTGAGGGGGTCCTGATCTGCTCCAGGGAAGCAGCTGAGCAGCTTCCTGGCATGGTGTGACACTGGAAAAAGGTCGGGTGACAGGTTGGTGGATCCTTTTGCATCCCTTACTGGAAACCTTCATGCTTGATTACTTCTCTGAAATGCCTGTACACCAACACACACAGCACGGGGAACAAACAAGAAGAATTAGAGATCTCTGCGTGGTCACAGAGCCCCAGTCTCACCACAGTTACTGGTCACGGAGAACAGGAGAGGTGCTTGAGGACTGGAGGAAAGTCAGGGTCACTCCAGTCTTCAGAAAGGGCATGAAGGAGGACCCAGGGAACTACAGGCCAGTGAGTCTCAGCTCCATCCCTGGAAAGGTGATGGAACAGCTCATCCTGGATGTCATCTCTAAGCATGTGGAGGAAAAGGTTATCAGGAGTAATCAATGTGGGTTCAGCAAGGTTCATGCTTGACCTATCTGATAGCCTTGGGGGATGGAATGACTCGCTGGGTAGATGAGGAGAGAGCAGTGGATCTTGACTTCAGCAAGGTTTTTCACACTGTCTCCCATAATATCCTCATAGGTAAGCTCAGGAGGAGTGGGTTAGATGAGTGGACAGTGAGGGTGGGAGGTGAGTGTGGACAGTGGGTTGAGAACTGTCTTGGAAACCCTGAACGTGCTTTATTTGTGTTCTCTCTTTCAGCTCTGCTCGGAGCAGAGAGCCCATGTGGGCACCTTGATGTGTGTGACACCAGTGTCCTTCACTGATGTCACAGCCTGGGGACTTGTAGCATTTGCCTCTCTCTCTGCAGCTCACACACCTTTGGGATGCTGCCTTCGTGTTTCCCCACAGCAGCATCACCTGCCATTGCCCCCCACCCATGACATCCCTGGCCTCCCTTCCCCGCCACTGTCCAGAGTGTGACTCAGCCTTGTGACCCCTACAAGCCCCCGTGCATGGCCCCCCATTTGTCATGCAAGCCCTGAGCTGGTGACCCACCCAGCCCCTGCTGAGCAGGGAAGTCACGGGACTCCAACCACCAGGACATTGTCTGCAGAGTTCACACCACGAGCTTTGTCACGGGATAAAATACAGATGAGGACTTGCTCTCTCCCACATGCCTGTGATGTGGGAGATCTGGACTTGACCTCCCTGAGGCCAAGGAGACCAAGGCCATAGAGGAATGGAGTGCAGGTGTCCCTAGGAATTATCTCTTGTCCCACTTGCCGTGTCCCCTCGGCGCAGGTGGTGGATGCTGCAGGGATTTGGGAGGAGGCAGGGGTGGCACCTGCTCTGGGAACACGTTGTCCCTGCAGCCAGGAGGGACCAGCAACTGGGTTTCTCAGCTCCCTTTGCCTCCTGGGTGATGGTGCTGACCCCTGGCCCTTCTCAGAGCAGGAGAGCTGCAGGGACAGAGGGACAAAGAGGAGCTGAAACCATCCACACCTCCATGCGCTGGTCAGAGGTGGAATTTTTTACCTAAATCCTTGTAATCCATTCCACTGCTGCTTCCAGCACTTTTGGTTGGAGCTCCATGACTCAAATCAGGATCTTTGACTCAGAAGGGGACTTCTCTGCTGGCATAAATGGGAAGGAGCTTCCCTAGGAATGAGAGGTGCTACACCCTCTGAAAGGGGAATGCCTTGTGGGAGACATGGACCCAACAGACACGCTCTGTGTCAGAACAGTTCTCTATCATTAACAATAATGAGCAGGGGAGGCATTTTTGGCACTTCTCAACTGTCTACAGGGGCTGAAGGGCCTTTTTCTTGCCTTGTGCCCTTCATACTGCCAGTCATAACATGATCAGAAATGCCAGTCCCAAAGGGCATCGCTGGTTCTCCTGAGCACCACCGTGGAAATGCAAAGAGAAAATGAACTGTGGGCATTTTACATGCTAAACTCAAACCTGAGCAGGCCTTTGCCGCACATCAGGAGTTTGTGTTTGCAACCCTGAGGTGAGATGTGCACGTGGGGCAAGTGGGTGGCACGTCCCTGCAGCGAGCAGGGCCAGGCAGGAGGAGCTGCAGGAGCTGGCCCTGCTCTCCCCAGCAGTCAGGAGCCAGGGGACATGCAGTCAGACATGCATTCATGAGATTAAGGCTCTACATCCCTCAACACACGTGCAGGGATGGATCCACACCTCCCAGGGTAGCACAGCTCTGCTGTGGCTGCGTGTCAGCCCTAAGGCTGCCCTGTGGTCATGGCTCACTTGTCTTCCCCATCACCAGCCTTTGGGTATGGCTGGAGCAGATTGTTCCTGTGCCACAGGCTCAACACATGGTATCACCATCACCCTGCAGGCTGTCTGGGCATGGCAGGAGGTGGCTGTGGTGTTAGGAGGCTGGCATGTGCAGGGATGTTCTTTCATTGCACACATGGGAGCTAAACCTCAACAGCCACAGCTGTCACAGCACTTCTGCACTCTCATAATCAAAGCACCTTCACTCAGACCATTTCTCAAGTGAAGGAAAACCCAAACTAAACGCTGTCTGCAGTTTCCTAAGCTAAAAGGTTGGAATGGGAGCTGGTCCCTGATCCCACCTCCATGGCCAATCCTTTCTCCCTTCCCTCCATGCTTTCCATCCTCTGGTTAAAGAGATTTGAGCACAGAGAAAAAACAGGACTGCATGCAAAGCTCTGCTCACCAGTTCCTCCATTCACAGTTCCTAAGAATGGTCAACATTTCCACTGGACGAGCCTGCACTACCTTGCAAAGTGATGAAGGAACAAAGATGTGAAACCCTGTGGATACACTATGTCTTTGAGGTACTTCCTCAGGAATACATAATATCAGCACATGGAGCGTCCAAGCAGAGGGGGTCCTGGGCTAATACATTAAGAGGGATTAGTGAATTAGAGGACACAGAGTTGCCAAAACAAGAGTCCCAGCTGTCCAAGCAGTTGCTGACATCAGGACATGGGGACCCTGACCTGTGGTCTTCCCTTGCCAGTGCCTGAGGGTGGTTGGGTGGCACTGTAATGGATGGTGCAGCATTTGTCCTGTAGGACAGTCCTTTTCTGCAGGACTTTTATTAAACTTTTGGTTTAATGCCTGGGTTCTTTTGCTTTCTCCTCTCTTGTTCTTTTTCTGCTTTAGAAGAACAACCATCTTCTGTTGGGAGTCATTGGCTTGACAGAAGAGCCATCTATCCAGCCAGTGGGGAGAGGGGCCAGGTTGAATTTCCAGCTTGATGGCAGGCCCTCTGAAAAAGCAGCACTTACATGATAATCGTGATGGCAAGGGGGACACATGGCACCTCCTTGGGGCAGAAGGTGACACAGCCAAGTGCTGCTGGTGGACCTGTATTTTGGATGCTCCCTAGCACTAGTTCTAATTATGGTATTTGCTAATCTTGGACACCTTCTACTGAAATATCTTCCCAGAATCCATTTGCTGAGTGCAGCTGCATGCTTGCAGAGGAGTTCTAAAGCATGCTTTGGTGCTGGCAAGACTCAGCCTCCCCCTCTTCTCCTGTTTTTGCTGACAGGTAGAGACAATCTGATTCATTGCCTCACTGCTTTACACGTGCAATCCCCTCAGGTTGGCACTGATCCTTCTCTCCCAAACCATGAAGCCAAAGATGCAAGAAGAAGGCACAGAGATGAAGCCTCAGCAAGTGCTCAGCTGTTGGACCCTGTGTCTGGGGGGTGTAGACCATAAGTCATGATCTGCAGGGGCTTTTGGCACAACACTGTCACACTGACTGGGACTTAGAGGCAGCACTGGCCACGGGATAAGAATAGAGATGAGGGTGTGGAGCTTGCAGCAGAGCAACAAGTAAGAGTGAAAGGAGATTAAGGAGTGAAAATGAATGATTTAATAGTGGAGGACAGCAAATGGCCACAAACACAATCCTCCACGGCCTCTTCAGGGTGATCACAGCCACGGCACATCATCTCCAGCAGCCTCTCACACCTCTTTTCAGACTCAAAATATCAACTTCAGAAAAACTCACTGTTGGGCTCTCACTGGAGAGCAGACAGCCCCTGGCAGGAACAGGAGACACAGCATTTGGGATTCTGGGAGGGGCTCAGGGATGCTCACCTTCCGGAGGGCAAGATGCGAACACCTCGGTGAGCATCGTCACGTACCTGTGTGCATCAGCCTTAATGAGACTCAGCAGAGACGGGTGACTAATTCCAAAGCAGTCCTTTATTCAAGAACATGGCTTCAGGTAGATTATTCAGGAGCACACAACAGCTTCTTTGACTGCATTTACTGCCAAGCAATCGGCTTTCCAAAGTGTCCCGTTGTGGCTGAGTGGTCAGATAATTCATGTGACACGGTTTCTGCTCCCGACTGGGTGAACTTGCAAGCACAAATGTCACCATTTGTGAGCATAATTTTTCCTCTTCATGTATGCCTCTGACATTTGCTTCCCACTTACCTTTTCTGCCAGTAACATGCAATCATAGCTGGTGGGAGAGAGCAGTGCCAAGGGGCCAGAAAAGGAAGGGACCAGGAGGGGCTAAATGGGGCCGCCGGTGCCCAGAGGCAAATGCTTCTTCTCATCTCTCCAAGAGCTCCTCCCTAGTACCCAGCAGCTTAATTCAGAATAAATGCTTCAGAAACTCACTGCTGTCAGGAGACCGGCGCGCTGGCAGCAGCAGGGGAGGTGAATACTGTACCTGGACAACAGCAGGCACCTGAGAGGCACCAGCAGCTCCTCCCAGGCTCAGGGCTCCCAGTGCTGCCTGTGCACATGGGGAGATCTTGCAGGACCCTGCCCTGGCTGGCTGTGCCCTGCACTGCAGAGCCAGGCACACCAGCTGAGGCACTGGAGACAAACTGGCCTGTGGGAAAGGTGGGACCAGCTGCTTTTCAAGCTGGGGTTGAGCCTGACCGAGCACAGCCCAGATCTACTGGGCTGCTTCCTCCTCTTCAACAGGCTCGTGGGGAAACCCTATTGTTTTGGCCCGTCTCCCCACAGCTCTTTGGGAAAAGGGGAGCTCTTTAGGCTCTTTCAGCCACAGGAATCAGGGAGCCACGGGAATGAGGGGACCACGGGAATGAGGGGACCACAGGAATGAGGGAGCCACAAGGTTCTGGGGGGTTTGACAAAGCACGCATTGCTTGTGACATGGGGCCTGTCAAAGCCAAGGAACATCCTGAGGACACAGTGCTGGGTGAGCACAGAGAGCCCAGACAGACAGGCAGCAGTTGCTTTGGGCTTCACGATGCAGTGAAGTATCACCAGCCAAGCTGGATGTCCTGGTGGAGTCTCTGCACCTAACTGCAGCCTGGGAGGCCACAGGGAGTGGTCTGCAGTGCAAACTTCTCGGTAGCATGCTGCATCCTGGCTCCTGACTTCACACGGGCAGACACATTCCCTGGCATGTGACAAGTGCCACTGACCTGCTTTGGTCTTTGAGAAAACACTGGAGATCACTCCGGGGCTTTAGTCACGGAAGTCTGGAAGAGCAGGGGTGGTCCAGGCTCTAAACCAAGCACAGAATATTCTCCACCAGCCTCAGCAGCAGGTGAGAAGATCTTTTCCCCTCCTGTTCTAGCACAACATCACTGTACATGCAAAACCTTCCCTGAGCCTTCCTTTTCCCCACCAACCCCACGTGTTCACTGCCCCCAGGACCTTCCTGCAGTGTCACCAGGACAGAACACCACACAGCCCAGCTCTTCCTTAGTTTAGTGTCTCTGCATTGCAACAGTTCAGTCTGGCCTGCAAAGAGGAAGCTCTTTAAAAGGGTCACTCTTTTCGGGAGAAGGAGATTGGAAGTGTGTGATCTGTGGCGTGCCTCTGATGAGGAAACCATGTAGAGCCGAGCCAAGCGTGAGGAAAAGGAGCATTAGGAACCCCAGAGCCAAGGATTCTTCCAGCTGGGGCTGGGGCAGATCTCCCCATAGGGAAAGGCAGGACAGAGGTGCTGCCCAGTGGCCACTGGGCACTGCCCTGGGCCTCTTCAGGGGCATTTTGGACCTTGTCCCATCCAGCTGCAGTGACACATCTGCTCTGCCCTCTTGGCCCAGAGGGCTTTGGAGACCATCCCCACAGCAGGTGTAAGCCAGCACAAGGGGAGGGGAGACTTACCTGCCCAGAGGGTCTGCTCTGAGCTGCCGGGCAGGTACAGAGGGAATGGCATCCAGGACGGTCCTGGAATGAGCACTTGGATGTTTCCTCCTTGAGCCATGGCTTCTGCTCTGCATTCAAAGTGCTGCTGGATCTCCTTTTCCTAGGAAAAAAATCCTTCATGGTAACACCCTCCTGCATGCCTGATGTAGGGTTCCTTAATTATATTACTTTTTTAAGGCAAAGATCGGAAGCTGATGCACAGGAGGCTGTGACAATCTCAAGGGCTGTTACCATTTCAGCAAAAGACACACCACCAGGAGCTGATCCTCAACAGCATTTCTGGAAGTTCAAGCTCCCCGTTTTCCACAAATTCTATTGTAGGCATAACACAGCACCCTTCAGGGAGAGCTGAGCATCCCTGCTGAACTGGGCTTCCCTGGCCTGGAGAACTCTTCAGCCCCACCAGAGTCTTCAGATCTTCCCCAGGAGGAGGCCACCAGGCCATTCTGCCCCATGGCATGGAGACAGTCTCAGTAAATCACCTTATTTTTCATCTTCTGTGGCTGAAGGAAGGAGCTCAGCCTTTGCTGATCACACTGTTTCAGGCAACCAAGGCACCCACCAGCACTTACAGCCGAGCCACTCTTGTCCAGGTGCATCCCCCTGCTTGCCAAAATGCCATCACCTTTCCCACCATCTTCCCTGCTCCCATCTCCCCGGGGGAAAAAAAATAAAAGCAAAACACCAAAGCACAACCAAAAAACCTTCTCCATCCCCTCTGCAAGCCAGCAGGGGTTAATGTTGTCAGCCATGACGTCAGGATCCCAATTTGTCCGGAGAGTCCCCCTCCCCAACCACAAACTCTCTCTCTCCTCCCCTCCTCTTGTGACTTTGCAATGAGCAGCAAAACTCCACAGGAGCTGCGGCAACAGCACTAGGGAGACATCCAGCCCTCCCTCGGAGAGCAGCACTTTCCACAGACAGGGATTTATTTATTTTCTACACATGCATATATGTATTTATTTATTTTCTGGGTTGCATTTGTTTTTCCTTTTTTCCTTTTTAACTCTTTCACAGAAAACCTCTCGAATGACGAGCCTGAGATTTCCCTAAAATAAAATAACGGCACGGTGGGGCTGGGCTGCTTCCCCTTCCCCCTCGGAAAATAAAAGAGGAAGGGGGAGCAAATAGGTAAAATCCAGAATAAAACCGTATCGCTAGAAAACTCACACGTCCTCCCTCACACACACACACACACACACACACACACACACACACACACACGCTCTTTCTCCTCCTCCTCCTCTCTGAAGGTGGGTAGCAGGAGCCATGCAACATCTGCAGAACCGGATGGCAAAAGAGCAGGAGGAAAAATAATCCAAGTGGAGTGCTCAGGGGACACTGAGTTGTTTTTTTCTTTTTCTTTTTCTTTTTTTTTCTTTTTTTTTAATTATTATTTTTTCTTCTTCTTCTTTTTCTTCTGCGTACCTGTGAGATTCGGTTTCACATTTTGCTGAGCCCATTTTGGGGCATTTTATTTTGCTTTCTCTTGGGATTTTCTCCATTGCCAGAGGATGTCTCTTGTTGAGAGGATGCTGAAAGGAAGAAGAAACGAATTCTTTGACTGGCACTGAAGGAGGGGGGGGTATTTTTCCCCCACATTTTTTAGGTTTTTTCATTATACTTTTTCTCTAGGAAATCATCAACTGGGGGGGGGGGTTGGTTTCTTTTTTCCCTCCCCCCCTTTTTTTGGAGGGGGATTTCAGAAGATCCATCTTTTTTTCCCCTCCCCTCCAAAGATTTTTTTTTTCATCCTTCGTCTTTGTGGAAATGTGGACATTTCAGGCAGACAGATTGAGTGGAATTGTCTCTGCTTTAGCAGCTCTTTGTCTCGCCTGCTGTGCGCAAAGGTAAGGATTGCGATCCCAGGCTGCAGGGACAGGGGGGCTGACACAGGGTTTGTTTGTGTTGTTTTGGGTTTTCTCCATCGATCTGTATGTGGCAAAGGGGAGGGGGTTCTTTCCCCAAATTGCTTCCCCTGCTGCCCGCTATTGTTATTTCCCGGTCCATGTCGTTTTAGGGGGAGGAGGAGGGATGCTCATACATGAGATGTGGAGCACACTCTGCAGACGGAGCCCACCTCGCAGCCCACTTGTGTGTGTGTGTGTATGTGTGTGTGTGTGTGTGTTCCCCCCTTCCCCCTTACTCAGCCTGGGGGGGGAAATGGCAAAACGAAGCGTTTTCCCGGGGAACATGGTGTCTGTGGGAGCCGCAGGAGCGCCTGGCACCGCGCTGTGTGCAGCCGCGCCGGGCACCGCGCTCGCTGCCTCGGCCGTGCCTGTGCCCGCACACACGCGGCGCACACGCAGCCACACTCACAGCCCTGCCGTGCCGTGCCGTGCCGTGCCGTGCCACAGCCCCGGCTCTGCGGTGCTCCGGAGGCGATGCCCACGGCCGTGCCTCCGCGCAGATTTATGGCATGCAGCCCCGCGCTCTGTGGGTGCCGTCCCTCCCCATCCATCCCCGCGTGTGCGCCTCCATCCGCGCCCCTCCGGGTGCACACGCATGTGTGTCACTACCCAGGGCACGGCACGCTCTACCTGCTCTGCATGGCACCCCGAACGCTGGCTCTGGATGCCCTGCGTGCTCCAGCCGCAGCTATTCCTGCCGCGCGCCTTGAGCGCCGCGAGTGCTGCAGGCGGCCGGAGGGGCAGGCACCCATCCAGCCCGGACGAGGTGCACAGAGCACACCTGTTTGCTCCCACACGGTGCTTATCCACCGCCTTCACACACAGGAGTAGCGCTGCCTCCTCCTCCTCGCCCAGGCGGGCAGGTGGGTTTGTGCCCCGGTGCTGACGCCGGGTGTGCACCGAGCCTGCCGAGGAGCTTGGGGGGGGGGGGGGCTGTGGCATTTCCTTGCCCAGCCGTGCACAGGGAGCAGCGCCTTGCCAGCGCACACACGCAGGTCCCTGCACAGCCTTGCGGGGCTGGGGATGATGCCCAGATTTGGGTTCCCATAGTTATAAACACGCACATGCGCAGACGGACGCCCACCTTGCCCACACCATCCACGCGTGGTCCCGCTGTGTGGGGACACACAGGCAGGCGTGCTCGGGGGCACCGTCCAAGGAAATGTGTGCAGAATGATGCCCACGGCGAGCCCCGTGTCTCTGCGTGTGTGTTCAGACCTGCTGGTGATGTTCACCTGCAGTCTGCCCGTCTGGCCGCGCACGGCTCGGAGACAAAACACTCTCCCGTGTGCACATGCCTTCAGCTACTCCCACACACCCCAGCCAGCAGCACGGGGCGCATGTATGTGGATGCTCGGCTGCAAGTGTACGTGTATATATGCAAAGCACATGCCCACCCACATGGAATCAGGGACACGGCACTCCAGAATTCAGTTCACAGGCTGGATGTATGCGCTCCCTGAGCGGATGCAGACCCACATTTGCCAGGAATAGCTCTGACATGCAGCTGCTCGCCCACAGCTGGGCAAATGCACGACTTGCCTGTTCAGCAGGAGGGATGTGGCTTTTTGGATCAAAAGGAGCGCTGAGAGGAAAAAGACCTTGCCCTTAACCATGATGCCAGTTTATTCCCTCACTAGGCCAACTTGTAGCTGCTGAGGAGGAAAGACCCCCTGTATCCCCTTTTCCACTCTGCAGGGCCCCTGCCACATTGGTTACTGTCTCTGCCTTAATTTCCCTGCCTATATTAAAGAGTTAACACTTCTTCCTGAGTTTATGTCCTGTAGGAAGCTAAACAGAAGTGTTTAAATCCCCTGAGAAATACATAGTGTCCATATTATGAATATGGAAACCTGTGAATATGGAAATCTGTGTACCTGTAGGAATGGCTTCTAGACATGAACCAATGCTGGTGCACACTATCAATAACCCACAGTGACAGTACATAAGCAAAGCTGCAAATCCTCACATACTGCAGGGAAATCCACAGGTGCAAATGGACCTTGCAAGCCTAGACACAGTGTTGTGAAAATGCCCACCTGTGTGCAACTCTCTGGCCTTTTCACAGTGATTGAAGCAATGCAACGAAGAGCTGTACCACGCTCAGGTGCATGCTCAGAAACAGAGCTCAGACACAGCACAAGTGCTCAGTGGTTTGTCCATGCACCAGAGCTGGGCCTGGGAAGTGTGTGTGCTGTCTCACTTTTGCACATCCCCGTCCAGTTGAGAAATCCCTGCACACACACACTCCCAGACTGACTCCCCAGTGATCCTACATTTCTCCACCCACACCTCTGTGGGGAGCCTGGGCACCTGGGAACCCAGCCTCAGGCACCCACAAATGCCTGCTTCTGTGCTCCTGCATAAATCGTGTCCACAGCCCAGTGTCTCAGCATATCCCAGTGGAGCAAGGTCTGTCACTGTCACCTCCAGTCACCTCCAGTCACTGGCTGGGATGTGGTCACACACACAGGTTTGTGCACATTCCTCAGCTGCCCCCCTGAGCTCCAGTGCTTTCATGTGTCTGCATGTCCATGTGCACAGGCAGGGAGTCCCATACAGCCGGGAGAGCACGTCTGTCTGTCTGTGTGTGCAGATACACAGGCACGTCAAGCCAAACCCCCGTGCCCAGCGAGGCAGGGGGCTGGCTGGCAGAGGCAGTGCTGTGGTGCAGCTTTCCAGCCCGACTGGGATGGATGTGGGAGGCGGTGTTGACAGGGAGACATGCTGTTGTGGTGGGTGACTGCAAAGAGCAGCGGTTGTCACCGGTAGGGTCTCTATTCTCATGCAAAG